TAGATATTTGTACTGGAAAACAAGACAAAAATACTGAATAAGAAAGTAACGTAAACACTACTGAATGATGACTAAAATGAATGATGACTCTTTACTGAACCGGTTCAACCGAGCCGTCGCCAAGCCTCGCCTTTATTTGTACAATTTATATTATTCTATTACATTCGTGTTTTCTATAAAACTACATTGCAAACACCGTTTTAAGAAATCTTTAAATAAAGCTTTACTAACTTGACCAATTAGCAACTGTTTCCAGACTTCAATCTTTTGCTCTTTTCTAATCTAAGTCTACGGAGGACTGATAAGTTGGATAGTTACTGTTAAACTGCATTTAAAACTTTTCAAATAGATTGGAAATATAGATTCTGTGAGGTTATCAACAGTAAATCACAGATCATCTAAAGGGCAACTGTCCAAATGAACCAACTCAATAAAATCAATGGGGCTACCTGACAAAGAGCGGATATTCTAGAAGAAGTGTTTGATTATTTCCTCAGCTCTTTCGGATGCAAGGCTGTGTTTACACTACGTCAATACTTGCAGGAAACAAAAGTGTTACATCATTTTGAAAAGAGCTTATCTGCTGAACACTGAGTCTCATTAGTCTACTCAAAAGTAAAAGACACATCTCACCCTGAAGGCATGTACGTAACTATATCTCTCTCTTGGAACATGCGTTTCATTCTTCACCCTCCCTGTAAAGTCAGGGTCCCAGTAGAGGACAGGACATAGGGTACGGGCATGTTGTCAATGTTTATTATTTCCATTTGTGCTATATTTAAAATATGTCAGCACGCAAACTGTTCCTTAAGATCAAATCATTCAATCCCTGGCCTACAAGCTAGGTGGTTATTTTTAGCCCTGCGCTAAGGCCACAACGCTCCAGAGAAGCTGTTATATGAGGATACAGAAGTGCACAATCATTCGGAGCAGTTGTAGTGTTTATTTTCATGTGTGTAAACCTTCCTTTCAAAGGCATTATGGTACAGGATAGATTTAGCTTGGGTATGAGGCACATTGCAGTCTTAAACGTCCTGTAGGCCGTCTATGAGCCCACAGCCGCCCGGGATTTTATAGAGGGGTAGATTAACGTATAGAATGATGGGATGCTCTGAATTAGCAGTGAGAAAAATGTCTCCTGGTTGTTTTTGTCCACTCACTTGAATTTCCGAGCACACTTGGCTTCCCTTATGTAATCACACTCCAGCGCCAGCTCACGTCGCATCACATCTATCAAATGCTCCGGGAACAGACCTGCACATTCACAGACACAGTCAGACATGAGTCAGTAGGTTAGTTCATATAAAAAATAAAAAATAAAGATTTGTCACCAAGAGGTGGCACTCACAATTCTTCAGAGTTTATGCTTCCCTTGTGAAAAAGAAGTGCACTTAAATTGTATTGAGTGTGTGCTTGTAGTGTACTTCAAATCTTAAAAGTATATTTAAAAGAAATTGTACTAGCAGATAATATTATTGAAATAAAGAACCACTTAATGTAGAGCCCTTTATTATGTCAAATGTAAGTTTTACTATAAAGTACAATTTTAAGTCATTAGGTTTTATTCATCTTTTGTCATGCTTTAAAAAAATGACAATACAAATTTCAATAGAAATTAAAGTATAATTTAGTTATATAAATGCTTGTCAGTACATCACCATATTTCAAAGACAGTAAAAGTAATTATGGAATTACATATAAACATGTACATAAGTCCTACTTAAGTGGGTCAAAAAAGCACTCATAAGTTCAAATAATTGCATTTAATATAAATGTAAACTACATTTAATAGCAATTAAGTGCCTGAAAACAAGTTCATAAGTATATAATTAATTTTTTT